GAAAGCATTGCCATTTCCTTCAGTTCAATGATGAGGCTACAATATACGTTTCTCAATGCATTTCAAGTGAGGATTTTCTCATTTTCAGCCAATAGTGTTTCCTTTTTTTTTTTCATTTTATCTCATGCAGGAAAAACTCCAAAATTGAAACCTGCATCAGGATTGGGTTGTTGAATTATTAACCCAACCCTCATTGCTGTAATTAAAATACAGCCTTCACTGAATATGAACAACTTTTTTTTTTTTTTTTTTGTAGAAAATTGACTTAATTGTTCACAATTAGATTGCTGCTTGATTTTTATTTAACTAGAAATTGTTACCAATGTAAAAGTAATTTTAATACTGTTGCTGAATATTGAGAGAATCGTATATGATTTACAATCAGCTCACATATTTCATCCATTTTTTTTACTTTTCCTTCGTCATTATGTCCCCTCGAAACTTTGTACACTTGAGCACCTTACATATAAAACATATGCAGGAAGTATTGTAGTTTACAGCAAATAAAATAAAGAATATGCCATATATACAATATGGGCTTGCGAAGCCTGCTTACATAGCAATTAAAATGATCAGAACATCCTATGAAATTCTGTGATTGCTGTACAGTACATATTGATAGTGAGATGATATGTATTAGAAAGTTCATATAGAGGGCGATCCCCTTTCTGTTATTTATTAGAAGCATCCTCACTGGGTTCTTGCTTCACTCCACTGACTCAAGATTCATATTCAGTGCTGGGATTTCTCTGCAGCCGCTCAGCAGCGGAAACAGTTTTTACAAAATCCTAAAAAACAGAACATCTTTGCTTCAATTTCATTTAGCGCCCAGATCACTTCAATTTGTTTTGTATTTTTATTTTTTCTTATTGCATGTCCTCTGGCTGTACAAAGCAAGCAATGTTATAAGCTTGACTCAGTTTCCCAGCTAGTAGCTGCTGGATGGTCAAGCTAAGTCAACACTGTGGTCACTTTGATTGGACAGTCGGTCAGGGTTTAAACCTCAGTGGGTTTGTGAGGTCACCACATGCAGTCTGTATGACTGAAGCAGTGCAAACTGACCAGCAGCAGATCTGGTATTTTACAGATTGAGTTTATTCCCAGGTTGAGGCCTCTCAACACCTGAATTAATCAAGAATAATCCATATTTTACAAATTATTATGATTGGTCCAGAACAAATGCACAGGTCTGAAAGTTGTAAATTGGAAAACATAAGCTTATTATTCTCAGTCTGTGATTACTGTCTGATTAGCAGGGTACAGTAAACCTGCTGTGCTCACTTGCGACCATCTGGATGCTGCCGTGCTGAAAATATGGGACAAGCCAGGATTTGCCTTGTATGATGCAGTGTTAATTGCTGACATCTGACATGACTGTGATGCATAGTGAATCAAATCATCCTTCTCATCTTTTTTATTTCTTTTTTAACTGTAACCAATCTACTTAAGAACAGAAAATAATTTAGTTAAAAGTAAGAGCAGAGGAAATTGGATCAAAAATTAACTCTTTGTTTTAGGACATACATCCTCCACATCTCCACCGACATTCAGTAGTTCAGAGTGAGAGATCGTCCCCAGAGGCTGCCCATCTGGAAGAGGCGAAGACCGAAGGGATACAGCAGGAATAACATCTGGATCTATCCAAGCTGAACTGACATGAAATATGATTTATTTCAGTTTGAACACCAGTCTTCCCCTAGACATGGATCTAAAATTGTTTTTGGGAGTTCTCTACATGTATATTAGTTAGTTCTTAGCCACTTATTGCCTTGCAGTGGCCTTTTCATTTATTTATTTTTATTTTTTATTCCTAATGAAGTGGAAATTATGCTTTCAGAGTAAATTAACAGATCAGGGAGCCCTTTATTGAACTTGGTACATGATTTATGAGTGCATTAAAATGTCAACTTCCACAAGCATAAACTTATAATCTAAACAACTGGATGGATGGTTTAGGCATAAACAGCTTTAAATGAAAACTTTATGTTCCACCCTATTTTGTGTGTTTGGTTTTTTTTTTAGTCCTATTTCCAAGAAGAATATCTACTTTAGAAAATGGGTTTTCCTTCTGTAAATTTGAAAAAAAGGGAAAAATGAAAAGTAGTGGATAAAATGCTTCATAGTTTTGTAGTATTATTTGATTGATTCTGTTTACATGAAAAACATTGTAACGAAGTAAAATGATGTCGGATGGCATGAAATACGGTGTTACCATGTTATTATAACCTATCAACTATGGACAGATCTGTCTACCAAACACTGGACAAAATCAACATTTTGAAAAAAATGTACTTTTAGCATGATCTAAAGTAAAGATCTGCAACAAGAATGGATTAGATGTGGTCCACACTGACCAATAACACCTTTATATTCCGTTGAGGCTTAAAATCATTTGTTTTGTTGTGAATGATAATGGGAAGGAAAGTTAACCGTTTCCAGAAAAATGTTCACACTGCAAAAGTAAAATATGTATTAAGCTCACTGCAGGAAACAGAGGAGATAAACCTTGTTGTCACTCGGTACCAAAAACAGATTGGGAAATTCCTTTCTTTTGGCTTGTTCTCTGTTCCAGTGAGTTGTGCTCATTTTCTAAACGTTAGCTCTGTCAAAGTATTGAGGTTTTATCTCTTATAGTTTCTCTCATGTTTGTTGTTATATTTGTGCCTCTGAAATCCTGGAGGCAGCAGTGAAGCGGTTGTATCCACCTGTTCCATTTCTGCTTCATGCTGTTTCTGGGGTTTGCAGCCCATGTCGTCCACACCGAGATCAGTAAACACAGGGTTTGCCTTTCACTCTATCATCTTTACTACAAAAGAAATAACAAACTAAAAAATTAACTATACCAGATCATTTTCAACCTTTTCTTCGATGTTTCGTCGTTGCTGCTTATAAAGCTAAAATACCTTAAAAACAGTTTTACTATTTGTTGAAATCAGTATCAGGAACAAATGGTGTTTTTTATGGCTTACAGCCTGGTATTAGTCATGGGTATGCATAAACCATCATTTAATATTGACTAGAGAAGGAGCCTGCAGTGTTTTCATAGCTCTTTGTTCTTTACTCTTACATAGTAATATTGTGACTATGTGTAATGTTCACTTGTTTGCACTGATCTTTATGTGCCGTTGCTGAAAATAACAGCTTCAAAATTTTAAAGCCAGGCAAGGCAGAGTGAGGAAAAACACCTTTTTTCTCCTCTGCATACATATATTATCACTGAAGGAATTCAGAGCAACTCTTTTAATCAAAGCTGCTGTTAACTGAGGGTTGAATTAGAGTAGGTAAAGCCTGGAGGTGTTAGATGTGGGTTGAGAGGGCAAACCTACTTAAAGGAGATAACAATCAACATCTAATATTAAAGTATTTACTAAAAGAACGGATGTTTTCAAGGAATTTCTTGGCTAATTAAGGTTTGTTTGTGGCATCCAGCTCTCTTGTTATTTATTTTTTTATTCTTTGTATGTTTCAATATGTTGTTTTTGCGTTTTATTCTCTTTTAGGTATGACTACAGAGAGATGCTGTACAATTCCACCTTCTGTCTGGTTCCTCGGGGTCGAAGGCTGGGCTCCTTTCGTTTCTTAGAGGCTTTGCAGGTCAGTGACTCATCCACATCCTGCTGTTCACTATGAGGCAGAGTTTTTCTTTTGCAGAGTAAGCATCTGAAGGTTATTTTCCTTTGTTTCCTTTCCTGAAAATATTGCAGCTTCAAGAAAGGAAAATGATTCAGAAACATGCATAGGCCATCATTAATTACCAGTATTTGCATGTTTGTAAAATGGAATAAAAAAGAAAAAAACAGATAAGCAATAGCTAGTTTTCATGCTACTTTTTATTGGCTATTTAAATGGTGTACAGTTTTAATACAAAGCTAGGAAATAAATTAAATTAATATTTGCACAGTCTAATATTAAGATTTTTACATTTTTTACAGATTTGCACAGTCTAATATTAAGACTTTTACATTTTTTACAGATTTACCTCTTATGAATCAGCACAAACATGTAATGCAAATATTGGTTTAACTAGCCATTCAATGACACACAGCTGTTGGCGTTACACACTATCACTTGAAAAACATTAATGTTTGCAGCTCACCATTGTATTTTTAGTTTTTTTGTGGCCAGAACTATTTTTCAATATTTCTGAATTTGACTGACTATGTTGTAAGCAAATCTTTTTTTTCGGGCGTTACCAACAGGATGCAGCTACTAGTGGGGGAGGGGCAGCACTACTTTGTAGCGGTAACCTACCTATACCCTCTAACGTCAATAAATGGTCAGTGTGATTATAATAATGACCCAAATCAAAACACCCAAATCAAATAAAAGCTAAATTTTTTTGGTGTTTGATTAAGAAAAATTGATGGAGAATATAAATGTTTCAGTGGTTAAACAAAAAAAAAGCAGTTTGTCTAGAGATAAAGCCATGCACCAGTCTGGTTAGTCTGAATAAAATAAGCACTGATTAAAGCTTGGGTTATGCATTTTGGGTTTTCTATGATATGGACCTAGGAGCATTCTTAACTACGTGGACGAATCTGCGCAGAAAATATGGTAAGCAGGCAGCAGCTCCTGTTGGCTAGGGTTCGCAAATATAAACATCTGGAGACATCCTGTGATTTTATAAAGTTGTGAATGGCTTTTTTTCCCACTTCCTCGTGTCGTGTTGCCGGCTTGCTCTTTGTGCTGATCTCAGCTCCCCTCCAGCTGAGACTCCGCTCTGTCGCTGACCACTTCACAGCGTTGGTGCTTTCTTTGTGGGTAGAACCAAAGTAAGCTGCTGTTTTAAAAAATCGATGGTCTCTAGAAGCTCATTCGAATGTTTGGCATAGAGAATAATCCAGCAGAAGTCGTGTGATCGCCTGTGCTTTTGTCGTGAAATGCCGACAGTGAGACCTTGACAGGAAATGCTTTGGGTCTGACGAGGGGTCAGGGAAGCTGATGAAGTACTAAATACTGTTAAACAGTCATTCCAGTACTAATATCTGTTGGGATGGTGACATCATCAGTGGAAAGTAAAAAGTTATTTTATCTTAAAAACCAAATCGGCACAAAAAACAGTTTACCTGCACCAATCAGGTAACTCTGAAAAGGTAGATAACTTCGGAGCCTAATGGAGGTTTCGGTTCACCTCTGGAAAAAAAAAAGTAGATTTATTTTTGGTTTGATTGTTTTTTACAAATGATTCTTTTTAACGACTCAAACCTGCACTAATCAGTCTATTTGCTGAGTTTTTCCACGTTGGTCGGGTGTGAGCTTCACGCAGCTAAAGCTCCTGTTATTTGATGACGCAGTCTAGGATGTGAACACTCTATCTCAGATCCAGAGCGGTCAACTCCCCACAGCGCTCACGGAAATCACCGCAGACATCATGCTTGGTCTGAACTCATCCTAACACTGTTATTTTTATTATTATGCCTCCAGTATTGCTCCCTTCTCTGCTTATCACTCTGTGTCCTCGATGCTCACCCTGTAATCAAGTCTCTCCTCCTGGTTCTTCACCACCTACTAAGATCTTCTTTCTCCCTCCTTTTATTCATGTGTCTTAAACTTGTGGGAAGTGCAATATGCCCCGGTAAATATAACGATAAGAAATATATAATGAAAATGGAAGCGCTGCTGATTTTTTTATGCCTCTTTTATAAGGACAGCATTCCCAGACCATCAATATCTCATCGCTCTCCACCACAGCAGTGCTTGCATTCCTCCAAATATTAAAGCATCCCGGTAAACCTCCAAAGAATTGAACAATATTACATGGTTTTCTCCAATGACCGTGAAAGGCTTCTTTTCCCCTGCAGCTCTACGCTTCTACTCCTGTTCTGGCTAGTATAACTGATGTTTTCATTTTTTATTTCTATTCTATAAAATTTACTAAACTGTAAAACATGCAGATATTTTCTGGATAAAAAGCTCCATGAAACAATGGATGGTCGGTTTAAATTCAATGTGGAATTAAAATGTAAAAAATAATGTTAAATAATTTTGGTGTCCCTATACAGCTTCTTTATTTCAGATATAATAGCAGCACGGATCATTACCTGAGGAAGGAGACTTAACATGATTTTGACCTTTCACAATTAAATCTCCCTCTAAATCATGGTTATTTTTTCACTTAAATATCTATCAGCACTGAGAAAAATGTTCTTCTCCTTTCAGCTTTTCCATCATGACCCAAGTGAAACTCCTGTTAGTCATTGTTCTTAGAGATTGGAAGGCTCTCTTTATTTCACACCATGAGCGCAGTGAGAGCTAATGTAGAAATCCACATAATAAGCAGTTTCACTTGACTGAGTTTTATATTATTTGCCATTCTCTGCACTTTCACAGTGAGAGAAGATCAGGGTTTCTCTGTTATCAACTAGAAATGAAAAGCAAGCAATCAAAGTACTTCTTAGCTAAATTTAGCTTCAGTTGACGCCTAATTCCTCTCAAACTATATTCAGATTTCTCTATCAAATGTAAACTATGGCTTTAAAAGAAAATCACTGACTGGTTTAGGATGTTTCCAGTCATCAAAATTGGTGATTATTTTTATGCTGCAATAAGCAAACCTTCCAAGTAATAAATTATATATGGATGAATGGATGCTGTTTATTTAATTTAATACTAGCCAATTAAACATTTAAGGAAGCTCAGCTGGTTGCATTAATTCGGACTTGAAGCAATCCATCCTCGATGCTAAGATGTGGGATAAGTGCAGAGGAACCGATCCAGATCTACTGTACCGCAACAAGCTGGGTTATGAGAGGACAGGAAGGAGGCACAGAAGCATTAGATGATGAGTAGACAGAATGAATGGCTGCAGTAACTCTGCTAGTGGCTTCATCTTGGAGAGAAACTGTAAATAAGGATGAACCAATGGGTCAGATCACAGCAAATCTGATTAAAAACATGCAAATGAAGGCAATCTACACTGCTTTAACTTTTCGGTGTATTTGTCTGAAGCCTAAGCTGTGGTCTGCCTTTTGTCCCTTCAGGTGACTGTTCTGTTCCCGAAGAAATCTGACCAATGAGTCTGATAGTCCAGGAAAAAAACAATAACAAAAAACATGGTCAAAATACGAACTCACTTTAATTAATGATGGAAATGATGGGAAATGGCTATCATCACAATGTTTTTCTGGGCATAACTGCTACAACCACATCATAAATGAAATTGATTATTATTAGAAACAACGGTTTATTTAACAGTGTGACAAAAAAATAAAGATTATATATTAGAAATGATTTAGTCGGTTTTAGACAAACCTGACTTATAATGTTTCATCCAGATTGTTCTTAACTATGAATCTAGCTCAAATCTGATGTGAAATAATTCTATTCGTGGTAAATATGTCTGAAAAGATATTTATCTAATATAATTCATATATACATACAATTAAAATGTCAAGGTTTATTTCAAAGAAGCAGGATGCTGAAAATCATGTAATATTTCCATAAAATACCTAAGTTGGTGATCTTTAGATAACCCTGACCTTTGACCTCAGAGGAAAGCAGACAGCTGAATGGAACAGAATAATTAGTTTCTCAGGGAGTAAGAAAGGAGACAAGTTGAGATGCTGGACTGGATTAAGCAGTAAAAGAGAAATGGAGGATATCCTCTGTGTTGTATAACACACCTACAGACTATGGACCACAGGTACATGTGTTTCTATGGATTGGTTCTGTTGTAGTTAAGCCCTGCAGACATTAATACAGTTCAAAATGTATTCCTATGGTGGATATAATGATGTTTTCAACTGGTTAGACAGGAGAGGGGAGAATATGTGCAGAGATGATTTGCAACATGCGGTAGATCAGCTGCCTTTAATCTGTGTTCTCTTGTATGTGCATACATCTAAAAGGGTCCCAAACTCAGATATCTGAATGGCTGCTCTGTGTATGAAATATTTTGATGAAGGATGGGATTGGACAACAGGATTTTGCAGCGCATTGCTCTGTGAGAGCAGATAAGCAGGTAAAGCTTGGCTGCCTTTGAGCAGATTGCTACCTTTTACTAATGATACTATGCAGATTAGAGAAACGGAGGCAATCCAATGCAGGGAGGTTTGTGCCGCGACGGATGTTTGTACGTTCAATGACCAAAGCAGATTATAGAGCTCGTCACTGCTGGCAAGAAGCTGCCTTAACTGTCCCATCCACACCCACACACACACACAAATGAATCAGTTGTTAGAAACACGGATGCAAACAGAGACACAGGCTGCAATATTATGAAACGACTTTTTTTTAGCTCAGATCTTCTACTGAACAAGTTCTCAAAATCAGTGTTCAGTTGTTGCAAATGTATGATTGAAGCTGGATGCACGGTAAAATGCTGCTGAGAAATTTCCTGTTGAAAATGAGACATTCTGTCTATGATAGATGCTGAAGCTGTGTTTGCTCTACTACATGCATCCTCTATGATGGATCTTATTAATGGTTAATACTGTTGTTGCAGGCAGCCTGTGTGCCAGTGATGCTCAGCAACGGCTGGGAGCTTCCCTTCTCCGAAATCATCGACTGGAACACAGCAGCTGTCATTGGGGATGAGAGGCTGCTGTTACAGGTAGAAACATGAGGAAATACTAAAGTTTAAACATATTCTTAGGTTTGGTTGCTTTGTCTCAGTTCTTTTAGGATTTTTAGAAATACTCTGCTTTAATTAGTTATCTTATTGCACTATAATTATCTAGTTTGAATGCTTCTTTCTATGCTTCTGTGAATAGATATCATTACTTGTATAAGGAAGAGAGAAAAGAATCACTCTTAAACAGGACTTCCTTCGCTGACTTTGACTTAGATGCTAAGATCCGATGATCAAAGCTCTAACTTTTCAGTTGGGCACAAATGGCATAAACTGTTCCTAATTGGTGTCCTTCATTACACTCATTTCAGCAGCCTAAACAAACAATGAATGGAAACCTTATTGGATAAAATAGTGCCCATGTCTAGTAATAATTGGGCCTTCCTTTTATCTGTTTAAGTCCAGCCTTACTTTTTTTTTTTTTTGTTAATGTAGCTTCTTGAACAAAGTACAGACATTTCACTTAGAGATTTCATTTTTGCAGCAGGCCGGTAAAGTGACCACTATTTTTACATCCTGGTTTTTAAATGTAAACTGCATTTTTTTCAATGTTACTTTTTAATTAATTAATTGTTTTACACATTGTAAAGCTTTCCTTTGTTGTTATTTTTTTAATGCCATCAGCAGGCTGGTTGACTTAGCTAATTGTTTTCTTGTTTTTCTCGTTAGCTAATTGTTTAATCGTTTTCTGCGTTGTTCTGTTCTGATCCAGATCCCTTCAACAGTTCGGTCCATCCACCAGGATAAAATTCTGTCTTTGAGGCAGCAGACGCAGCTACTGTGGGAGGCTTACTTCAACTCTGTAGAGAAGATAGTACTGACCACACTGGAGGTACATGCATACAACACCATGTCATCTGTTTGTTTCTCTGAAAAGGAGTACATTTGCATTATGTGCAAAATTTAAAATTTTTATTAGAATTTAATAATTGGGGAAAATACTTTTTTGTTATTAAGGGAAAATGAAGTAAAAAGCTTTTATTCTTTGTTTCTACACCGCACTGAGATCTATGCCTACATACCAACCTTTCTTTACTGACATACAGCTGTGAACTGTGTTGCTTCAGATGTAAATATGAAAAAAGGCCTCCATTAGATGGAGGAAAGGTATCATTGTATCAGAGTCCTGTCAATATTTCCACTCTGTGTCGTGTTCTGGGTTGGCTATCAGTCATGTCAGTAGTTTGTTTCTGTCAGGCTCCATTTATCTGCTTTCTTCCTGGTGAGAACCGGACTATCATGCCGCTGCAGGGCTCGAATTACAAACAGCTGAAGAGGAAAGCAGGGAAGAATAAAAACTGATAAGGGTGCGAGACGGTAGCCGAGGGAACGTCACTCTATACTGAGCTGTGGTGTCAGAATAGTTCATTGTCACTAAACTCCACAGACATTATCCCTGTTAGACCTTCATATGTTGGAGCAGCAGACCTTGAACTTTGAAGTGGCTGTTAAATTACCTGAAAGACAGCAGGAATAAATCAGCTGTTACATCTAAGCCCAAACTAGTTCTGGGTTAGACCATCAGCCTCCATCTTTAAATAGTTTTACTCTCCAAGAATTTGGAATCAAAGGCAGTGATGTGCAGAGGCAGATTTTTCTGTAATAGCGGCATGAAGTTGCAGGACTAAGTAGCTTATCTGTGATCTGTTTACACTCCCTGTATCTCATCTTTTCTCTGCCAGCCATGTTTTGGCTTCAAGACTTTCCTTTTTTTTTTTTCTTTTTTTTTTTTTCTTTGGGCCTACCATTATGTGATTCCAAATATTTTACTATAAACATGACAGAAGTATAACCACAAATCAGAAAACCCATACTGCTGCTTCCATAAAGTCACTGAAAGCTCTACATTTTTTATGAGGGTATCCTGTTACTTTGTTCTTGGAAACATTTTTATCAACAAGGATTAGAGTTTATGCTTTAAATAAAATTATTCTTAGCATCTTTATTAATGGTTAATTTGAAGTAGTTGCGCCAGAAGAAGCTAATTAAACCTCAGAGCGTTTGTTTTCTAAAATATCTTTAATCAACTCTACATAGCTTTTCATTTTTAGTCATTCAATTTGATGCACCAGAGAAAACCAGCTAGATGATTAGTAAATCACAATTAAAAGATAAAAAATATTACTTCAAGATGTATTAAATTAATAAATGTATTTGACAGGGACAGTGCAATCCAGTCTAATAACAAACAGCGTTTGTTAATGATGAGATGCACAAAGGGTTTATGGCTAATGCTAATTTTCCACTCCTGTTTCAGGATAAAAATTTCTTCAGATTGAAATAAAAACCCACAGATTTAAGTCTCTCACACCCAAACAGATACACAACTTTAGTAAAATACCCCATGTAGTAATTATTTAATCATTCACACATTGATTGAGGAACATACACACTAAAACGTCCCTCTCTCACTCACACACAGTGCTTTTTACAAAGGGGTTCAGCATTGGTTACTTTACTTTGAGGATAAGGACTTTATTTCCTTTGGCAAAAACATTCCACAACTTTGGACCGTAGAACCTAAAATCTCTCTTAATATAATTTAAAAAATTTAGATGCTAAGAAAATGTTAATCAAAGCAACTGTATTCTATTTGTTGTTGTTTTTTTTTGTTTTTTTTTTTTACTAAACATCTTGTTAGATGAAAATCAGCAGTAGTTATTAAATCGATGTGTTTTTAAATCTTCCTCTCCACTATGTCTGCAGATAATCCAGGACCGGGTGCTGGAGCACACCTCCAGAAGTAGCCTCATGTGGAATAGCCTTCCTGGGGGCCTCTTCACTCTGCCTCAGTACTCCACACATCTGGGAGACTTCCCCTTCTTCTACGCTAAGCTGGGTCAGTCAGTTTTTCTGCATCTAGTATCTGTAGTTCTGCTTATAACCAATAAACTCGGTGTTGGCACATTTTCACTTTTGACACAAACCTCAGAACACATGGAGGGCCAATCAGCAGAAACTGGCTGAAATATGAATCTAGTTGGAAATCAGTGGCCACAACCCAAAGAAAGCATAGAGCTGTTCTAGAAATATAGGTTTTCCAGGGTAGATTTTAAATAATAGATGCTCATTTTAGTAACCTCAAATCTTCACAACTTGAGGCACTTCTAAAGCATTTGGTGCAATTAGAGCATGTTCATATCTGAGTGCTTCCATGTAAAGTTGATTGTGACTCGGGTTATTTTCATACTTCAATGGTCCCTCGCTCCTTTGAACCGATTCTTCTTTGAGCTTTATGTTCTGTTGACGTCTTAGCGGCAGCAACCAGAGACTTGGCCTAGATACACCTTGAAGCAATTTTGTTCATTCTCGCACCAAGTATTAATAAGAGACTGAACTGATTAAACAAAATGAAATCAACAAAAATATATTTCAGTGTCGTGACTCAAATAGATTTTTCCTTATTTGCTTGCATAGCTTACTGTAGTTACAACTCTGTTGGTATGTTTAAAGATAAGCACATTAAAAGCTGCTAAGCCCCTTTAATAGTCTTACTTTAACCATGTGAGTTTGTGTTAACATGGACGGGAACTCCGTCTCTGTTGTAAGGCAGAACACATGGTAACAAACGGTGTCGTGTTCCCCGTCCCCGCAGGTATCAAGCCGTACCCGAAGTTTACAGCAATCATCCATGTGGTCACCCCGCTGGTCTCTCTGTCCCAGCCAGTGATGAAGCTGCTTGTGGCTGTGGCTAAATCCCAGTACTGTGCTCAGGTAAGGTCAGCTCTGGCTTTCTGATTTAAAGATCTCATTAAAAAAGGATCTTGTTGATGAAAGAGAGTCAAGAGAAGTCTGCTATTATATTAGGAAGCGTCTCTCTGCTATGTTTGTAAAAAACAAGTGTGAATTAGCTGTGGTTAAACTCTAAAACCTCACTTAGAACAGCAATGTATCAGGATATGCTGACAAATATATTTTCTCTAATTTATCCTCCAGGGGGAGGTTTACTAATTTCCCAGTCTTTAACTGATTTCTGCTATTTCTCCAGCGTCAGGAATTCAGGTTACTTTGCTTCAGCTCTAGGTTGGTGAGGCTTCAGAACATTTCCAGCTTCCCTTTGTTCTGGATGGTTTGACAGTTCTTAAAATAGAAATGTAGGTTCAGGTAGAAGTTAGTTCTGCCTTATTGGCAACAGGGTTGAAGTAATGGTTTGGATTGAAACATCTATGTTAAGTAACATGCAAATTAAGGTGGTTTACGCTGCTCTTCCTTTTCAGGGCATTTGCATGATGACTAAGCTGTGATCCGTGTTTTTTTCCCCCATTCAGGTGATCGTTCTTTGGAACTGTGACAAGCCTCTTCCTGCCAAGCACCGCTGGCCCACAATCTCAGTCCCTTTTATTGTCATAGAGGGAGAAAGCATGGTAAAACATCTAATAATCCTCTTCCTCTGTGTCCATCGCTGCAGCGTTTTAGCAGTTTCTCTAGGAAATGTTTTTTTCCTGGTCTGTTTAAGCATGTTTGACGTAATCCATCTCTGGGGTAGCTTTAGTCAGGTACATGTGTAAATCCACAAATAATGATCACACACTTTTTCTGTAGAGCACATGTAAACTGTTAGAATTTAATAGGAAGTATTGATTAGGTAATTATTTGACAACTGAAGCCTGCATGCTTCCAGCCATCAAAACTGGGCTTAATGAAGGTTGTAGGAGCAGATTATGAATTTCTGTATTCCAAATGGTTTGGGTCACATGATCTGTCAGCTGTCTATATAGGTATGATCCGGTGTTGATGAGGACAGGTGTGTTTCACCCAAAAGGGGGAAACAGTTTTTGACCACAAAGCAAATTCTAACGTGACGCAATGCTACCTCTATTGAAGTGAAAGCTATGTGGATCCCTGAAACTATGTATGCAGTGTTATTGTCAACAAGTTAAAGATATGATAATTATTGCAGAGTCATGGAAATAAATGGATTACCTGCACTAACATCAAGGATGGCTCTCATTTCAATTTAGCGGCTAAGTAATCGGCGTGTCAACTTTACCCCGGTGTACCACCTCAGGGGCTTAAAGCTTTGGCTTAGCCTCTACAAAGGTCTTAAAAAGACCATAAAGTTCCTCTTTTAGATATTGTTAATTAAATGATGATATTTTCATTTCATGATGTCTGAAAAACTACCAAATGAAAACACTGGAAAAGAGTCAATTGTTTAACTGGTAATGAATTTTAGAACAGATAAACTGCTATATTTTTTGATTGCTGCAATGCAAAAATCAAGGTTTTGTTGTTGATAACTGATGAAAAACTGAGACAATTGTTATTGTTACTGTATTTATTTTGCTTCGTCTTTTTTTTAACACGCATTTCTGACTTTAAATCTAAATTTGTCAGCTGTCTGAGGACCTTTGGACTGAGCTGTAGATAAACAGATAATGATTTAGTTTAAATCAACATATTACATTAAATCAGCTTATTTGATGAAGACCCTGCTGACTGGTGGAATGGTCAAACATCTCCTTTATAGGCAGCAGCCTTGCACAGCGTTATAGAAGTAATATTTGAATAACAAGGTTGTGCCAAATGTCAAAAGCAGGAAGAAGCCATATTTATACAACTACTTTGTATTTTATTTTCCCTCAGTGAACAGCATTACTCAGCTCTTGTAAAACTGTTTCCCTGCAACTGAAACCAGAATTTATTTGAAGCTTCTTTGCATATCTTTTAATAGGGGTGCGAATAAATCAGTCTGCAGCTGAAAGAAAATAATGAAACGGTTTACCAACTCTGCAGCCTTCACATGCTTCCCTTTTTTGTTTGTTTTCTAACTCTGACCAGGTTATAAGCAGCCGCTTCCTTCCCTACGATACCATCCCCACTGATGCTGTGCTCAGTCTGGATGAAGACACGGTGCTTTCCACCACAGAGGTTAGTCTCCCAGTAGATGTTGAGAAATCTATGGATTCCTTCATAGCTGTAGTCTTACACCGTACATAAATGTGATCTGGACACAGGTGGACTTCGCCTTCACGGTGTGGCAGAGCTTCCCTGACCGCATCGTCGGCTACCCGGCCCGCAGCCACTTCTGGGACGGCAGCAAGGAGCGCTGGGGCTACACCTCCAAATGGACCAATGACTACTCCATGGTGCTGACCGGAGCCGCCATCTATCACAAGTACGGCCTGCTTTGTTTTCCTTTTCCACCGACGCTGGTTGGACTGTCCCTGCCTCATAAACGCTCCATTGTTCTCTGTGTCACACCTCTCCCACAGATATTACCACTACTTGTACACCACCTACCTTCCAGCCAGTCTGCGGACAATGGTGGACCAGATGTCCAACTGCGAAGACATTCTTATGAATTTCCTTGTTTCAGCAGTGACTAAGCTACCACCCATTAAGGTCACACAAAAGAAACAATACAAGGAAACCATGATGGGCCAGGTGAGGCACACGATTTAGCTGGCATTGGTGTTTATATGAAGCAGGCAGGAGAAATGAGGCGGATTTATTTGGATCTACCCATTCAGGGATTACTAATAGTGCTGTCTGCTGTAGAGGCGTACAGCTATCTGGCACATTAGACTAAATGCCAAATGGTGTTTGGGTTCAGCAGAATAAGGACAGTGGGGTTATTTGTAAATTGCAAGTGAAATCTGTTTGCCGCTAACATGGCCTGGTTGATGCTTTGCTGTAAAAGGTCACAGTAATGGACAATACATTATTCATTTAGTTGTTTTCTTCCTCTCTACTCTGCCGAACTCGCTTGTTTACTCCGTCTCTTTTCTTCTCCCCTCCGATCTGCTCTCTCTCTCTCATCCCAGAGCTCCAGAGCGTCCCGCTGGGCCGACCCGGACCATTTCGCTCAGCGTCAGACCTGCATGAACAAGTTTGCCAACTGGTTTGGCACCATGCCTCTGGTCCACTCGCAGATGAGGTTGGACCCGGTCCTGTTCAAAGACCAGGTGTCGATACTGAGGAAGAAGTACAGGGAAATCGAGAGGCTATAGCCGTGCTGAGCCCCCTGTGCTCTGTGGACACGACGGCTGTGGAGCGAGTCGGGGGCTGACCGTACGGCACAGCAGATGATGTCATGTATGGATCCGTGGGTGAGAGGTGAAGACACTGGAGCAAACATGAAGGACCTATTTTTCTGTCTCCTCGGGTTCTCCTCTCCACTCCTGCTGTCTTGTGGACCGATGCTGGACAGCAGTGCTCTCTGTGGATCCATCCTGACTGCACCTGAACAGTTAAATCTGCTCACGCCATCAGAAATGATTGCTTTGCTGCAAAAATGTCCCAACGTCAACAAAACCCACTGGACGGGACACTTCTCTGTCTGTACACTATGCACAGATCTGTGAACATTTTTGCTGACAGGATATTAATAACTACGAAGATAACACTATTTTGGATTGTGTTTAACTATTTTTTTATACTGTGTACAAATGGCCAGCATGACTCTGTGTCTCTCTATTGTCTTAAAGAAGGAGGGATAAAGAAAATCCCCTCGGAGCCCCAGAGCTGGGTGGTGATTGTTGATCTGACAGTGCCTCAGCATTTATCAAAAGGTGTTTGGTTCTGAGATTCTGACAAATAGAAGACTGGGGGCAGATTCTGCCCCTCGATAGCGCTGCTTTTTTTGTCTTTTATCATTATCTGTTTTTTTTCCCATGTAACTGATAATATGCTGCATTTCCCAGTTCAGCACAGAGAGATAAGAATGTTTCAATGCAGTCGAACAAACACAATTGTCTGTGTGCCATTCTGAACAACTCCTCCCCTAAAGCCAACATGCTCAGATAAACATGTTGATTGATGCCCCTCGGCGATGCAGTAAGGTTGTTTCATTTCTGTTCTCTTCATTCCTAATGACTCAAATTAAATAACGGAACTGGTTAGAAACAAGTTAGCCTGAGTAATACGTAAGCCTTCATGTGTTTTGCTTTGAAAGGAGGCTGAGCTTTCTAACCAGACAAAATTGGGGCTTCTTGAATCAAATCCACTGTGAAATCTATTGAACTTTTTCTTTTTTTTCTCGTTAGTTTTTGGTTAGGGTTAGCGACAGATCTTAGTTTTTCGTCATTGTCTGAATGCAGTAAACCCAGTTTCCATTTGCCAAGTGACAGATCTGGCTGTTGCTAAAGGAACAAGCACCTAACATGGGGAATCAGCTTCTGCAGGCTGTTCACCAGCTTCAGGTGAATAAAAGAGGCCTCTCTTTTTAGTTTTGATAAGATGAATGAAGAGCTTCTGTAGTTTTTAAGGAACATGGCTGTTCAGCTACATTTGGGTCGCACTACCAAGCCTGCTTGTTGGACCTAAAGCTATCCACAGAGGCTTCTGCCAAACGTTGGGGGGAGATGGAGTTGTTTTTATGCTGCTGGTTTATTAGGCTAACTCAATTATAATCAGTTCACTTAATGGTCTTGTTCTGTATCTTTTTCTTTAAAATTTCATATCATTATCAGAGATCTAACTGCTGAGGTTTAATCAGGAGCTGTCGACGTGAAGCAGGAACTGGGATCTACCAGCAGCTCCTCCAACTCCTCCTGTCCGATGAAGGAGATGGTTGCTTTAGTGAGCTCATTCGCTGACCCCCTTTATGTGCCATTTGTTTCCATCTTCCCATCTGCAGTAGGGAATGTCATACCTTCCCTTCTTCGTTATGTTTTTCTTGCTGGAATTTGAGCGAAAACGAAGGAAAAGATTTTTTTTTTTTTATGTTTGCTCCACAGAGGAGAGTGCTTTGTCACTGCCCTCTGAGAAAGTCATCAGCTGAGTAAACGGGACAACGGAATCAGATCTGTTTTAAAAATGAATATGTGCAATATTTTCTTTTCCTGTGTGTTGATGTTTCAGAGGATGATGGTTATAGATCAATGTGCCTTCAGGGGAAAAAAAAAAGTACACTTCAGATTTTTATTTTTCATCAGAACATGGTCCTATTATCATTCTTTGGTTGCTTTCTGTTAGCCAATGGTTCTTTTAATGATTCAACACTATCATCTTGATTTACAGTCAAACATTTTTAAATGCTGTCTCTGGTTTCCCTTTTTTTCTGGAAGGTTTGTTGTGGTCTCGTTTCACCCATCTCCACTTACTGCCTTGTGTCAGGTTGTGAAGTTCCACCCCCTCCTTTGTGTTTGCCACAGCTGTAGTACTTTTACGGATTTGTCTCAGACATCTGACAGGATTGTCTCTAAAATGAATCTGCCTGCTTCTATCACTCTCTTCAGCACCGCCACACCTTTGTTTTGTTCAGATGGAAAGATGGTGAAAGAAATCATGGTTTTGTTTATTAATTTTATAAAACAAATTGAAACAATCGTAAAATAAAAATATTTGGTATAAACTAACCTGTTCTGCAATTCTAATTTCTTTTTCTTTTTTTACAGTGGATTGGGGACTAAGTGTCTGTTATTTACCAGGCCTTACCAAATTAAAGTGCAGCCTCATATATTAAGATTTATGATAGAATGACAGAAAGTAGAGCATTGTTCTGCTGTAGGAGAATGGTTTAGGAGCATTTTTTTGAAGGGATAGTTAAGTTTTTTTTTAGATGTGTGGAAAACATATTAGATAAGATAAATGTATTAAAAAATATATATATTTATACTAGATATGCACCAGTTTTTTTCTGATCCAATTCAAAACCCATACCTGGGCTCAGCTTATCGGCCGATATCGATCCGATTCAACTGTTAAATGAATGAACCATATATCTTGCCTTGTGAGTGAAGGCTTTAGCCTTGCCAATATTGTTTAAAAAGGTAACAATATGGACATAAATGAACTTTATAACCTTTATTAGCAAATAAACAACCGAAATAACAGTTCCGTGTAAAGTGCACAGGATTTGATCTCTGAAATCCGATCCAGGTATCTTATCACTGCATCTCTTATACATATTTGTCCAATTTTACATATCATTTGGCTGCAGAAACCACGCAAGTAAAAAATCAACTTAAGACCTCAGAGATTTCCTTCGATCTGATGAGTAGACACGCCATGCGGAGTAAACACTGCTATCATCATCATCCTTGACTGGCAGGCTGGGCAAGGAAAACATTAGAGAAGCAGCCAAGAAGCTAATAGTAACTTAGGAGGAGCCACAGGGTTTCAGAACTGGGGTTGATAGATTGACTAGGTTAACTTTTAGTCGACCTAAAAATCAATCCTGCTTGGATAAGAAAGCTCTAAGAAGTCCAGCTTGCTGTTCAGAACTCGGCACATATGGGAACGAAAGCTGTGGTCGTGTGAGCTTTTTGACAAACACGGAAAACTGCATTTTGTGGAAAGTTGACACTAATGGCCATTGACACATCTCTCACATAATGAAAGGTGGCAGCATTGTTCTGTTAGGATGCTTCCCTCTGCAGGGAAAGATAAATTAGTTAATGGGGAGATTATTGGAGCTAAATACATGACAATCCTGGGGAGGGAAATCATTTTAAGCTTGAAACAGGTGATTGTTCCAACAGGATGAGGACCCTAAATATACTGCCAAAGGTTTCAGTCCAAATGTGTTTAAAAACCTGTGTAAGATAAAAAAAAACATTTCTGTTCACTGACACGCCCTCCTGGTGACGGCGCTTTAAACATCTTCTGTAGAACGCTGAACAGATATTTTAATCCTTGGAAATCCAAGGCTGTTAGAAAAAAAAACAGTAAAAAATATGGATTTGAATACAGAGGCAGGTTTTGATTGAACATTTTTTATGCATTACTACTTTTTGTTGAATAAAATGCAGTGACAGAATGTGGATAGGTTTTAAAGACAAATAGTTTTGCAAAAAGCTTAAGCTGCTGCAGAATCAACATATTGCATATGGCTAGATACTGCCTGTTCCCTTTCTAAGCTGCAGGCAACCTTTTTTTCAGTTATTCCAAAAATGATATTCTTATATATATGCACAGCACCCACTGAGCAAGATGCAAGCTAAGTAATACTTTTAGCCTCCTTTTTGTATGAACTTCAGCCTATGCAGGGGATCTGCCGTCTTTACATAATTCTCTGTCAGGTTGATTGGTTTCGACACGCTGCATGAATAACAGCATCTACATAGGATGATCCCGTGGTGCAAACTCAGCTGGAGGAAACACTACAGGAGGAATTGCTGCAGCTAGAAGACACACACAGGAAGCCACCTAACTGGGAAAAAAATCTTTCCTAATAAATTTGTAAGAATTTCCAAGCGGGATCGACTAGTTTCATGTTGAAAGTAGACAGAATCTGGTCCATTTCCCAGAAAAAGTCGTTTTAGATGGAAGGTTAATGGAAATGTAATTCTTTGATAAACCAATCTGCCACAAGTCAGATATTGCAGAGTTTCATTGGACCCTAAGGGCTTATCTCTTTACAGTCTGTCCTGATTAAATAGTATGCAAATGAGCTAATCCCATTGATGAGATGTGTATCTGCTGTGGAGATGGATCAGCGCATGCACACTGTCAGGACTCTCCCCTGCTGTCAGATTAAACTCTCTGACTCAGGGGGGGTTTAAACTTGAGAACAGCCTCTCTCCCTTTCTGTCATCGTCTTTATCAGATATCATCACAGCATATAAAGTGAATTTTTTTTTAAGATAAACTTCAGCTTTGGGGGAGAACTTTGTTGTGCTTTAGCAACTCCACGCCGCATTGATCTGTATCAAAAAGCTGTTTTCTTATTCCGTTGGAAATTTTTTCAGCATGGCGTCTCTCTTTTTTGAATTAAACCTCACTTAAAACACTGCAGCAACAGACAGAATGCATGATCAGTTAGTCTAAAACCACATATTGAGACACAGAGAGGTTTCTCACATTCTAACACTCATCAGAAAGAAACCTCCCTTGATACTTTCTCTCCACATCTTACAATGTTCCAGCCACATTCCTGAATGCATATTATCAAGATTTGGATGAGACAGACCAACGCTAAATGAAGTAGAAGAAAAAAGGATGCATCGAGTACCTGTGTGCGATTTAATCTCTGCGTGCATGCAGCTGTTCTGTGAAGGCCTCAGAAGATTGTCAGAGAACATTAGTGAACATGGTGTTTTTCTTCATACAGATGTGGAGATTATTACATATGTCTGCTTTGATATGTAGAGATAATCAGGCCTTCTGACTAACTGAGGCATGCCAAAGATTAGTCGCCTAAAGCAGGAATGCATCTGCAATGCACCGGCTGCTTCCTCTAAGGCTGTGTAATATTATCCTTTACATGATAACTGCAACTTGCTTTCAAGATAAAATCCCCCCGTTTAACAGATGGGAGAAAGAAAATGCTGCCAGCAACTAGATCTTGGCTAAACACAGGAGTCTATTAAAATAAATTGAAAAGCATACTGAGTAGTACATTAGACTTCTTAACCTAAGGAATGTGATTTAATACTTAGCTGTATGAGGTCTTTTTTTTGGCAGCAGACAGTAATTCAGCCTTTATCAATATTGCATTATTCTCATAGGTAGTCATGATAAAATGTGTATGAAGAGTATTAAAGATGCATAAATAAGGATTTGATGCAGACACTGATGCATCTATTTATGCCTACTTTAAGTGTTATCTCACTAGGACATTTTTTTATGGTTCCACAAAAAATCCAATTGGTCCCTTTTAACACACACTCCATGATAGAACATGACTGCGAACATCTGGGGCTGCAGGGATGTTCACTGGAAATGACTTATTGTCTAAATCTGTCATATACTGATGTGTAGGAACCAAATTTACCATATTGCTACCTCATTATCTATCTTGCACAGTGACAACGAGCTCCGTGGCTCGTAAATTATAAACAAGCTCAACTGGCAGCAGTTGCACTGCAACAGATGCCCATGAGACAAATCCGCTTTTCTGTGTACCCATTTCGCAATTTGTTTGTAGATGAGTCACTCTGTCTGTCAGGCATATTTCTCATCTCTGTCTCTAATATAGAGCTGGGAAATTGCTTTTTGAGGCTTTTTGTTGCATGCATGTGGTCACTTCACATTGATACTGTCTTAGAAAAAATACAGAATTTCTCTGTTAATTGCTACCAATTGTCATATATGGGGTTTTTATTAGCTTTTTGTTAAGGCTTCTTTGAATTTAATAACATTAAAATGGAAACATAAGTGAGATACTTTATTTAAAAGGAAGCTTAAAGGACCTTTGTCATTCAATTACTCATGTTTTGCCATTTGACATATCATGACCAAACTCTAAATTATGAAACTCAAAGCTGGAACTAGGAAATTCAGCAGGGCTATGTCATATTTTAGTAGCTAAATAAGTTCATAAAAATGTCCATACATACATGAATTAAAGAATACAAACAGATGTTAAACATTTTTTTTCATAATATAGTACATGCAAACCATTTCCAAAAAGAAAAATAATACTAGAATCTTTTTTTGTAATATAATTCAAAGGCCTGCAATAAATTGGTGGCCTGTCCAGGGTGTACCCCGCCTATCGCCCATTGACAGCCGGAGATAGGCACAAGCCCAACCGCGACCCCGCTTGTTATAAGCATGTTGGAAAATGGATGGAAGGATAATTCAAAGGCGTATTTGATTATTTAGATGTTTCTAATTTAGGTATATCAGCTTCATGTTATACATCACACCATGACTTTATGATAATAAGGCCTTTACCGCCACAGTTAATAAACAAGAAAAAACGTCTTTAAACTGGATGATTGGTCTCCAGTTTATCAATCATTTGTCATGGTCTGTTTGATCCGACATGATCACATTTTAAATAGTTAAGAAAATGGACTTTAGCGCAGGGATCTAAAAATAACCTAAATCTAAGTGATTATTATAAAGGTTAGCAGTAACTAGTTACATTTACAAGGTTACATTTACTTTAGTAGTATTTTGACAAAAACGATTGTTAGGAATAGTTGTCCTGTATGATTTTTTACCTTACAGAAAACATTAAACTAAACATTTTATTATTTTCCTGTACACAAGCTTTTTTATGTTCCTGCTACCTGCAGATCCTTCTATGACAAAGGCTTCAATATAATATATTGTATAAGGTGTATATGTTGCCAATGCAAGTAGCTCACCTGGACTACTTTACATTGAAAAAAAAAAAATTATTCTGAGAATTGTTTCTTCTGCCTGAGTTATTCATTTTCTTATTTTTTCCACTTGTGTATTAATTGTTCTATTGTGGTCTTTGAAACACCAGAATATACACATATGTTTGTCATCTGACTGATAACTTTCTTTTTTATAGAGGATCACATCACTTACCACATGTACCTAAATATATATTTCCCAACTATTTTTCACTCTTACTTGAGTAATTTGTTGGACAATTATTGTTATTATTATTTTTTATTTATTTATTTACTTGAGAAAATATTAATATAGTGCAACTTCAGTATAATTTTTGGGCACTCTGGATACCTCTAATTGAATACAATGAACATATAACTCCTATCATTAATTTTAAAATGTATATATTTGATGCATTAATTACACATGGAAATGTTCAGCAATGTTTTGGATGATTTAAATAATGTATTACATTTATATTAAATTCTTAATTATTCATAAATGATAATACAACATATATATTTGTATTGTGCCATTGCACTTTTATTTCATAAATCATTAACTTATTAAATAAAAAATAATTTACCATATACTACCGTACATGATCAGTCATCGATATTGATTTTATAATATCAGACAGGTATTTGGTGGTTAAATACTACTACTATTCATATCAGAGCAATATAAAAAAAAAGACATGGTTTATGCAGATTCTATTGTCATGTTATTCCTGCGGTAGGCTTTAGCGCCCCCTATCAGCCGTCGCCGCGCACAGCAGGAAGCCGTCTCTGACTCCTCCCCTCCGCCGTTTTTTGACTGTAAACATCCTGCCGATTTTAAAAGGACAGCGCTGAGCGGGAGGAAGGCGGCTGGCGCCATCTTGGCTGTTTTAATGAGTACAACAGGGGAGAGCTCGCTGGGAGAAATAACCTAATCTTTGTGATTTCACCCTAAGAGGGCACCTCTTGGTAAGTGTGCCTGCAGCAGATATATTTAGGCACCGGTCTGGGTGTTTTAGGTCACCAAACCGGCATGCATGCTGGAGTTTGTTAGCTGCGGCCTTCGTTGTATGAAGAGCCGTTGGACATCTGCTAACGATAGCGTTGGGCTTATGAAGAAGAGCTGGAAAAGTGTGAGCAACGAGCTGCGCCCTTTTCTGATAACCGCATAGTTTTATGGAGTTTGTAATTTTTAAAATAGCTGTAGAAAGGTCTCAGATAAAAGCATTTATTTCAAACTTCCAACGGCTGTATAATCAAGCTCGCGGCGTCGTTCCTCCTTTTGTAGTTAGCTGTCGGCTAAATTGGTTCGTCCCACTTGATGGCGCCGACTATTTACTGGTGTCCCCCTCCCTTTGGCGCTTTTTAGTAGTAATATATGATTCAATTATTACAAAGTCACTTAAAATTATTTTCTGAGTTTATATTTCTGTCCTTCTGGTAAAATAAAAAGTTAGCGTTTGGTTCGTGGTAGAAAGTTTAATGTGCTTTAAGCCAGGTAAAAGTTCAAATTTGTGCCCCACTCGACTGAGAAAAATTCGGAACTTGATTCGACGTTTTTTGCCAAAGGTCCGTTTTTATAACCCTAACTTGATAAATTTTAGTTTGATATTATACTTTATTGGTTGGGAGGGGGGGCATATGCAGACAGTGCACCTTTATCAAATTTATGAGCATATCTGTTTAAGAAAATGGCAGCGTTTTCCTCTATTTTTGAATTGAATGGTCGTTTCTGATAATAAACATTTAATAGATATGATTACTACGTGTTGTAAACAATGTTAAGGCCAGAAATTAAGACTTTTCTAGTTTGTTGGAAAGCATAAATCCTGGGGAAATGTGTTCCTAAATTAAGATTTCAATGTATAAAAAAAATGTGAATCGAAATCGGAGATTTTGCGATCGTTTCTTCTGCTGATATTAACCACGTGTTAGTCGATTATTTTACGTTTTTATTGGTAACTATGTAACTACCCAAACATGTTAGTCTTGTTTTAGAAAGTCAAGAACACATATGTCTGCCCTTTCCAGGTTATTTTGAGTGGCAGAAAAACGAGGAATTGTGTTCCTGGTTTAGGGCTGTGCGATATGGCAGAAAATATATTCTGATATAAGCTTTTCATATAATTACGTGTCAGCTTTTTGTTTTTTGAAGATAATATTAAAAAACTATTTGAAAAACAAACTGAAATGTTGGAATTGTAACCATACAGTCGTATATATATTTTTTTTCATCACAATGTTTTTATCACTGCTTGCTTACCTGCACTTTATGAATGAAATGAAATAGTCTAGAGAGCTGTACTTCTTAAGTTTAGCCATTATAAACAATGAAGGGGGTGGGGGTTCAAATTAATTAAATCCCCTCCAACTATAACCTTTGGAAAAAAATCAGCCCTACATCAGACCATTTTTAGCCTGGCTGTAATAGATTGAAGCTAAACCCTTTCCCCTGCCTTCATCTCCCAGAATGCAGTGTGCTAGTGAAACTGTGTCCATTTGAAGGGTCCAAATTTACATTTAACATATTTGCAGTACATATTGTTATTGTTTTATTGCCAATGTTACCAGTAAGTGTAAATACCAATACTAATTATTTTTTAAAATATTTAAACGATTCTCAATGTGTGCTGCTGCTTTCTTCTTCTTTTTTTTTTTTTTTTTTTTTTTTTTGCACAATATTGCTTTTCCATCCTCCATTTAAGCAAATGTTACTCCAAGTCGCAGTTTTGGAAAAAATATATATGTTTATGAACAAACAAAACAAACATTGCAGAGCGAGGGAAGGCAATACTTGCTTTTTACTTGATGTAAATGCATGGCTGCTGAATGCTCTAATGAATAAGCCACCTATTTACCAATACAAGGAAAACACTATCAGTCTCTCAAATTTGAACCAGTTTAGGCTGTTTCTTAGTTGAGCATATTTAGTGACAATTTTTTTCATTTTGAATGCATATGATGTGTGTGCTGTGGTTTAATTTCTTAAACCGGTATGCCTTAGAGACTGTATGCTGCAGTTAATTATCATCAATGATCAAATTGAAGATTATTTCCATAATCAATTAATCTGATTAACTGTTAAATGTTGGTTTGAGATGGTGGGTGTTTGGCATTATATGAATAAACTGAATTGACATTTGTTTGTTTCTATGTTTTAATTGTCTTGTCCAACTGAGCAATTTGGACAGTTATTGGGGAACTAACCTGGTAAATGATCTTTGCTTGGTATTGACGTTTTTTTTTCCTACATGCATTTAATCTTTTTTTTCCCCAGGTAAATCACACCACAGTTGGCGTGCTTGAACCAGAGGAATCGGGGCAATGTTTTACGCCCACTTTGTCCTCAGCAAACGTGGGCCGCTGGCCAAGATCTGGCTGGCGGCCCACTGGGACAAAAAGCTGACCAAGGCCCATGTGTTTGAATGCAACTTGGAGAGCAGTGTGGAGAGCATCATCTCACCAAAGGTAAGAAGGCAAAGTTACAATCTTTGGTTCCCACTCTGCAAATCCCATGAATATTTTGGTTGACTGTTAAATCATTTTGAACAAATTGTTGATGAAAGGGGTTGTCTTGTATAGATTTTGAATCTCCTCCTTATGGGAGTTTTATTCATTGGATCTTGTTGAAAAATGGTTCTTGCAGTTTAGCTCGGAGTTTCTATGTAAATGTATTAAGCTAAACTATTTTTTTTGGTCCTCATGGTCCAATGTTGCATTGTTTGTCTGATTCAGTTATGGAAATCCAGTTCTGTTCACAGTAAAAGTTTCATCTTGTACAAAGATTTTTAATTTTCCAACTAATACTTGCTATTTTTCAGGTGAAGATGGCATTGCGAACCTCTGGTCACCTTCTCCTTGGAGTGGTGCGAATCTACCACAGAAAGGCCAAGTACCTGCTTGCTGACTGTAATGAAGCCTTCATCAAGATCAAAATGGCCTTCAGGCCCGGTAAGCCGTCCATCCATTGTCTGTTTTTGTTTTTTTTTTGCTGGCTGCCTTTCCTGTGGTCTCTTTATATTTTTGTTCTCCGTCGTTGTTGACCAAAGATCTTTGTGGTAAAGCCCTAACCACAGCTTTCCGTGTTTAGGTGTTGTGGATCTACCTGAGGAAAACAGGGAGGCTGCATATAATGCCATCACTCTTCCTGAGGAGTTCCATGACTTTGATCAGCCACTTCCTGATTTGGAGTAAGTTGATGTTCTTAGTGGTTTTTGGGTTAATAAAGCGCTCTGACCAGAGAAAGCCTTGTTGAATTTTTAAACATCCTTTGTCAATAATTTATGCTGGATGGTCTAAAACCATTTTTAATATGATAAACTGTTGTTACAGTTTCAACTGTAGATGTTTTCTAATATTGACGGACATTTTGAAATTAGTTCTTTTGTTGATGATTGACCTGATTATTGTCTCTGATTTTTGCCAACAGTGACATCGATGTGGCTCAGCAGTTCACTTTGAACCAGAGCAGAGTAGAAGAGATCACCATGAGGGAAGATGTTGGAAACCTCAGCCTCATTCCCGATGACTTTGGTAGGGCACCAGTTCTTTGTCTCTCAGCTCCAGTCATCCAGTCATCTGCTTTTCCTTGAGGGAATGGCTGCTATCAATTGATTTCTATAAGATATTTCAGGGGAATAAATAGGAATCGTACATTTTTCCCATGAATAATCTGTGCTCTGGGTGGTTGGAAAAAACTAATAACTCTTCCTGCTGTATCCCTCAGCCGACTTTGGGATGGATGACCGGGAGATGATGCGTGATGCGAGCACATTTGAAGATGATATAATGCAGGGAGCCACAGCCCCTAACCTGCTGCTGGAGGCCGAGCCGGGTCCAGCTAACCTCCCTGATAAATCCAACCATATGGAGTATGACGACTTTGGTGATGGCTCCATGGGCAACAGTGATGGTGGAATGCTTGGTGGGTTGTGTTTTTGTTTTTTTTAAACAAATCCCAAATTTGAAGGTATTTTTGGTAAAACATGTCATGATGTTTTTTCTTTTTTTCCTCAGTTGACACGCTGCTGAGAGCTGAAGATGGAGGCGGCATCTTTGATGATCCTCCAGCAATCACAGAAAGTGTCATGATGCCCCCAGATCACGGCGACGATGAGGATGACTTTGACAACCTTCACTCTCGTAAGCAGACCTGGCTTGTTTTGTTCCCTGAGGACCACTAGTTTTTTTTTATTTTTTTTTTTATTTTAGTTCACACATTTAATATAAATTTAAATTTTTCTGTCAAGCTGGTCCAGACAGTCCTGATTCTGGCCCAGCTGAGCAGCTGCCAGCGATGACTGACCAACCAGAACAGACCACCCTGGTTCCTAATGAAGAGGAGGCTTTCGCCCTGGAGCCCATCGACATCACTGGTATGAATACTGTATACCTAAAAAAATATTTGTGTATCCTGAGTAACTAGTTAATTATTGGACATTTTCTGGTGGACTTTTATTAAAAATTATTACGCTACAATGTTTTTAACCAAACTGTTGTGATCTAATGACACTGAAGAAGTGCCATTCCTCCACTGGTTTGCTGGAGCATTTTTATTAATTAATTTTTTGCAAAAAGTTGAGACTCATTATTCTTTGTTGAGATAAAAAGATTGTAATATTGTAATCTATTTTAAAACTTGTGAAAAAACAATATTTAGTCTGCAATTTGGCAGCCATTTTGTTTTGCAGGTCGGATTCCTGGTATATAATGCAGTTTATTGGTTTTGTGTGCAGCTCTTGTATCGATTTCATCTTAACACTGGAATAACTGTTCAAATCTTCTATTTTAGTATTTAGTAGAGGATATCAACAAGTTGCTAATAAGAGAACGTTTTCCAATGTGGTGTTTAAAACTTGACATAGAGACAGCAGCTTTAGTGACCTATACAGCATTCCTTTAATTCTGGCTAAAGAGGGACGTGAAGCCATTTCCAGCCATGCCCCCTGTTACAGTTCCACCTTCCAGTTAACTGTTAATTAATGGTTAGGGTTAGGGCTGCAACAACGAATCGATAAAATTGAAAAAAATCGACTTTTAAAAGCGTTGGCAACGAATTTCCTCATCGATTAGTTGTGTCGCGCGATTAATGCGTCATCCGCCGCCGCCGTCATCACA